TCAGGGAGGGAACCATGAATAGCAAAAGCCCTGTGCAAAGCTAGACAATCAGATACCTGCATGACAGCTTATATTGCGAAGACAGTATCTTTTATCCAACCATTTGTGAAACTCAAAAGGCACAAAAAAGGCATGTAAATGTATTCAGGATCAAAGCCTTTTCAGTGGTGGTCCCACTTCTATGGAACTCCTTCCCATGAGATATATGCATGTGGTTCCATCATTACTGACTTTCAAAAAAAGAGAGAGAGAGCTTGAAAACCTATTTATTTCAAGCTGCTTTTAGTTCAGATGCAGAGATTTATTGGTTTGTATTGCTACTAAGTGTTTGTTAAATCTCTTAAATTGATTAATCTAGGTTTATTTGACAGTGTTTCTGGATTGTGAAATGTTTTTAATGTGCTTTTTAGAAAATTGTATTTTATTGGAATGTGATTGTGTAGTTTCATGTGTATGTTTTTAGATGTAAACCACCTTGAAAGAGTTTTCATCCTAAAAGGTGCCATAGAAATATATAAATTCTCAACAATAACAGAACATATCCCCACACTGATCCTATAAGTATTTCTGTTGAAAGAAGACTTTAATTGAGGGGACAATAATTTTGTATATATGAATGGCCATCTGTCACGGATGTTTCAGCTGAGATTCCTGCATTGCAGGGGGTTGGACTAGATTGGGTTCCTTCGAACTCTATGATTCTATGCTTCTATGAATGAATGAATTTATTAATACAGTCACAGACCAGCGCCAACACACACAACATCACAGATCATAAAAAATATATATAAAAAATACAAAGGGCAATATAAGTATAACAAGCATTTAAATATAAAAAATTAAAATTAATTATTATTAATTAAAAAATTAAAATTAATTATTAATAATTAAAAATTAAAATGAATTATTAGCATGCCCCCTGCTATCAACACTTGGGGGTTTGGTCACCATGGGATACCACTTGCTTCCTGCGACTAATTGCAGCCGCACAGAATTTGGCTACATTTAATGTAGTCTTGGGATTCTTGTCCTCTAGCAGCGGTTCCAAACCATGGTGTTCCGACTCCTTCCCGGACTTCCGCAAAACAGGAACAATAAAAGTCGAACGTATGTCCTCATAAAAACGACAACGCAACAGTACATGTGCAGCAGTCTCAACCTCCAACGAGCCACAGGGGCAGACCCGCGCTGCGTATGGTTTACCCTCAAATCTGCCCTGCTTCTATGAAATATATCCACATACCATTAAAATGTTGACCAAGTCAGCCTAGAATGTCCAGGTGGTGGTAAGTGATGGAAGCATATAGGCCACTGATGCATATTTTCATAACAAATGATGATATATGGTTTGATGTTCTTGAGAACTTGGGTTCCATAAACCTGCCAATAAAAATGGAGAAAACGTTTTTGGCTGACTTAGAACTCAATCCTAAGTGTGTTTACTCAGACTTAAGTCCCAGTGAATTATTATTTATTGATATAAGAGATTTATAAACTGCTTTTCTGAAGTTCAAACTTGTAGCCAAATAATAAAAGCACTATAAAACAGAATACTAGATACAAATACCAATGCAATAAAACATAATAAAAGAGAACTAGTCAGAAAACCAACCAAAGGTTATTAGGAAAGATTGATAGTACCTTCTAAATCCCAGGAAAGTTGTAGATTTCCAAGTTTCCACAGAGTAATTGTAGCACCAGGGGTGGGGGGAAAATGGTGGGGATGGGCAAAAAGGGCAAAATGAATTAGAGGGCAAACTTTGTCCTGTGTTAATTTTCGGAATGAAAAGTAACAATTAAGTTCACATTAAAGCTCCCATTCTGTGCATATTTTATTGGATGTAAGTCCTATTGGTATTTATGGATAAAAGTTCCAAGTAAACAGAAGTGGGACTGCTGACTTATTTTAATGCCCAGTTCATGATTTAGTTATAATTTGCATGTAAATAGTGTCTTTCCTTCAATTTACCACAGGGGTCCACATTGTAGTTCTTTCCCTGCATGCTTAAGCAGAAGCAAGTCCCAATATTTCCAGTGGGACTTCCCGCAGAAGATGTGCATATGATTCAGCCTTCAACTGCAAGACACTTAAAGAACCCATATGAGCCAATGTCCCAACTGAGGTTGAGCCAGCACAGCATTAATACAACCTTGGTATCCAATTTCCGCTTTTCAGCAGACAAGGCCATGGACTTGAAGGAAGAATCTGAGGGTGAGAGGAAATTGCCCCAAGAATGAGCCATGATAATTCCATATGCTTTCCTTAATTTTCCCATTCACTGAGATCTACAGATCACACCCACCTGTTGCTCCATCCAACATTGATTTTATACACACACACACACTGCCCTGCACTGCACTGCATCCACAGACCCTCCAAGTGTCCCTATTTTCCAGGGACGTCCCTGATTTAGAGAAGCTAAATCAGAAGTTTCTGATTTGATCCCAGAATGTCCCACTTTTCCTTAGGATGTTCCTATTTTCATTGGAGAAATGTAGGAGGGTTTGAGTTCCCAGAGCAAAATGCAAACACAAAATACATAACAGCATAGCAACAAACAAACAAAAAACCAACGATGCTGCTCCCATAAACACAGCCATTGGTTATTTAAACAGCCCAAGGCCTGGTTATAGAAGAACATTTTTGCTTGCTGCCTGAAGATGTACAGTGGTACCTCCGGTTGCGAACGGGATGCGTTCCAGAGCTCTGGCCGCATCCCAAGGAATTCGCAACTGGAGGTGCCACTTCTGTGCATGTGCACGTGGCGAAACCTGGAAAAATACTTCCGGGTTTGCCGTGTACGTATCCCAAAGGATACGTAACCAGAGGTGAACGCAACTAGAGGTACCACTGTATAATGAAGGCACCAGGTGAGCCTCCCTGGGAAAAGCACTCCACAAACAGGGAGCAACCACAGAAAAGGCCTGTTCTCATGTGGCCACCCTCCAGAACTCTTATGAAGGAGGCACATGAAAAAAGACCTCAAATGATGATCACAGAGTCCAAGACAGTTTATTTGGGGAGAGGCGGTCCTGGAGGTATTGTGGTACTGAGCCCTTTAGGGCTTAATAGGTCAAAACCAGCAGTTTGAATTAAGCCTAGAAACTAACTGGTAGTCAATATACATCTTGCACAAGTGGTGGAGCACCTTCCCTGTTGTGGCACCCAGTCTATGGAATCCCTTAGTTGTCTTTTGGATCTGTTACAGTCATACCTTTTTCAACAACTCTTGATGGTTCAAATACCTAGCTTTTAGTAATATTGCTTTATATTGTTCTGCTGTGGTTTGCTGTTTTCGCTCTCTGAGTTCTTGCTAGTTATACAGTGGTGCCTCGCAAGACGAAATTAATCCGTTCCGCGAGTCTCTTCGTCTTGCGTTTTTTTCGTCTTGCGAAGCACGGCTATTAGCGGCTTAGCGGCTACTAACGGCTTAGCGGCTTTAAGAAAAAGGAAACAAACTCGCAAGAACTCGCAAGATGTTTCGTCTTGTGAAGCAAGCCCATAGGGAAATTCGTCTTGCGGAACGACTCAAAAAACGCAAAACCCTTTCGTCTAGCGAGTTTTTCGTCTTGCGAGGCATTCGTCTTGCGGGGCACCACTGTATACATACTGTTTAATGTACTGTATCTTGTAAACTACTGTGGAATTTGATAATGAAAAGCTGTATGTATTTAAAATAAAATAAATTATTTTCTTAATATCTGAATTTTGCAGTTCCCCATGAAAGTAGATTTCCATGAACATTGTTTTTTAAAAGGCTAAACAAATTTTATCTCCCTGTTGGATGTTAAGTAGCTGAACTGTGCATCCTATCCTTAGCAGGTTTTAAAGGTGATGTTGAAACTAAAAACAAATCAAATTGCTTATTCCAACTGTGAGCAAGAACTGCAGCATGTAGTAGCAAGTGGAACTCCTGCTGCATCACTGCAGGGCAAGTTACACACCTGCTTTTGCACTCTGTCACAACCCCAAGGCTCTCCAGAAAACAATGGGTGGTATAACAAATCTTTGGCCATGCATGTTATCAAGTCCAAATGAAGGTTCACAATATACTGTTGTAAATGTATTCTTTGGCAATGCAAAATTATCCTCTTGTATAAGTTTTTGTGTGTCTTTGACAATTGGTAAGGTGCTTAGCTGTGACTTGTGGTGACGGAGTCACCCAACAAATTGCCCTCAAACCATGCATTCTTGGGCAGTGTTTGGAAAGAACTCATTCAAACAAATGGAGTTCACCAAACTACTTCAAAAAATCTCTGAACTACACCTGAAACTAGTTCCCACAATTGCCAGGTGAACTAAAGGTGAACTAAATTCATTCTGGGGTAGAATTTTGAGCAATACCTAGCTCATCATTATGTTCACTCCCTTCCCCACTCTTGGTGGGAAGCCAGTAACTAGCTTGCTTTGTTTTTGAACTCCTGGCTTTCTGGTGGAAAAAGAAAGTGAGTCAGTCAGACATCTATAAAGAAAGTTAGAAAGCAAAATGTGAAGGCAATGTTCTAAGGCTTATTAAGCAAATACAGAGGTACTGCTGTTGCTAAGGGTGCTTAAGTCATATAATCACTTTTGCTGAGCAATCAGAAAGAATGACTATGAGGCACTGGCTATATCTTCCCTACTAAAGAGGTTCACTCTCTTCCAATAGGAGCAATTCAGCTTTTAACACACACTGAAGCACCTTTTTCTCGTGGCCTTTGACAGGGCATTTTTTGTAAGACCCATATCTTCTGTTTTGTTCAAACTATACCACACTGCTTTTCCTTGGAATCCTTTTACTTGCTATTATAATTGTATATCACTTTTTGTTACTTCTTTCTGATTGCATTATCATATTGCTGTAGCATGCCCTGGAACCTTTTGATGAAGCCTAAGAAATAAATAAATAGGCATGTAGGAAGCTGCCAGTCAGACTGTTCGTGCATCTCACTCACTATTTCCTATACTGGCTGGCAGTAATTCTCTAGGTTTCTAGACAGCGTTGCCTCCCAGCCTTACCTGGAGATGCCAGGGATTGAAAACAGGGCGTTCTTCATGGAAAGCAGATGTTCTACCACTGAGCTAAGGTCTTTCCCCAAAATAAACTCCCTATAACTGGTTACTTCCTGCCTTATTTCCTTTTTCCACCACAGGCATTGGTCCAGGTAATGGTAGTATGCACTCAGTTGTATCGAAATATATCCAGGGACAGTCCTTAATACCCTGATTATATGTTAAGCCTACAGTACAGTTTGATTCTTCATCCTTTTGTTTGCATTTGAATTTTGACTGCATCCTTAGGAATCCAGTCCTTCGATATCAACATTGCCCAAAAGAGCCATGCTGAGCACAAACGCATGGCATGCTCACATCCACAGCGAGCATCTGATGGAACTCCATGAATCAGAAGCAATCTATGGGCCAAGCAAATGCTGTCCAACTCCAGCCTGTCACATGCCATATGTTTCAAAACCAAGCTTGCCAAGCTGCTGAGCCAGGAGCTTTACTTATCCGTGAACTTGAAGGCCAAAAGCAATGGAAGGCTCCGAGGCAAAGACAGCTGTATGTTTTCTGCCTATGTGTGTATAACTCTTCAGCCAGGAGATGTTATGGGCAGGAGCAGGGAGGGAGAACTTGGTTTATTTGCAGAATATTTAAAGAGAGGGGGACCTGTATTAACATTGGTTTGAGTCCATAGACTGGAGTGATTCTCCTACTCAGTTTTAGCAACTTTTCTCAAATTTTAAGGCTTAATTTGTGCTGCAGTCTCACCATATATTTAACACACACACACTCTCCAAATCCTGAGAACTGTGGTTTACCCCTTACAGAGCTACAATTCCCAGCTGCCCTAAAAGACATTTCCCATAATTCTTTGGGGGGGGTGCTTTAAATGTATTGTGTATAGCCAACAGCAGAGCTTCTTACATCACGGGAACGGGAAAAGGGAGGCAGAAGTCAATAAATTTATTTTTCAGTTCTTTCTCTGTTGAAAAGCTGTCTATCTTACAAAGCTATTTCAAAGGAAAACCAAGTAGACAAAAGAATTCAAGGAGTTACTATGTACATTTATAGTTAGCTGTGTTTCACATACGGTATACTATACGGAGACCTATACGGAGTAGGTCAAAGATCTCCCCTCCAGTTTGTGGTTTAACACTTTGTTTACTTTAATATTTTGTCTCTAATTTTGCTCCATTGAAACGAATAGTAATTCTGTTGCTTGTATTCTGTTTTCAATTTATTTATTATTCATAGCACTTCTGAGCCCACCTTTTTTCTCCAAGGAGTTCAAGGTGTGCCAGTGTGGTGTAGTGGTTAAGAGCAGTAGTCTCGTAATCTGGGGAACTGGGTTCGCGTCTCCACTCCTCCACATGCAGCTGCTGGGTGACCTTGGGCTAGTCACACTTCTCTGAAGTCTCTCAGCCCCACTCACCTCACAGAGTGTTTGTTGTGGGGGGGAGGAAGGGAAAGGAGAATGTTAGCCGCTTTGAGACTCCTGAAGGGGAGTGAAAGGCGGGATATCAAATCCAAACTCTTCTTCTTCTTCTTCTTCTTCTTCTTCTTCTTCTTCTTCTTCATTTAATCCCCACAACAACCCTGTGAGGTAGGTTAGGCCGAGAGTCTGCAACTGGCCCTGGGGTCACCCAGTGAACTTCATGGCCAAGTGGGATTTGAACCCTGGTCTCCCAGGTCCTAATCTAACACTCTAGCAGTATAGTGCTCTTTGGTTTCATCTTGTTTTTCTTATTATATTCAACTATCATACTATATTCATTCTTCCTAAAATTATTTTTTCCTTTCATTTTCAGTGGCATCTTTTACAAGGCAGTGGATTTCCCTTTTTGTTCTTGCTGCATTGGAGTATTATGACATTCTATAATAATAAATGGAGGGGACTATAGATGTGTTCAGCATTCCCCTGGACACGCAAACTTTTGCCATGTTGGGTGGGGAAGGTCTTCAATGGGCTTCTACTTGTGTTCACTTGAATGTGAGTAGAAAACGTCAGGCAATCAGGGACTCCCGCAGACTCCGTGCTCAGCAGGGGAATGATCAAGGGCTGAGCGCATTGGGCAACATGCATGGAGACATTGGGAGTGGAGTTTGTGAGTGTGTCCCAGTCCCCATCCACAGATACAGAGGTATCGTTCATACAAATATCTGACCATGCCTTAAATGTAGCAGATACAGCTAGGATGTTTTGGAAACTGTACAGAACCATGGGTTCCATGAGCAGCAAGATAAAAAAGAATTAGCTTCCTAGCCAAGACATTTTGGTGCTTGAGGCAAGGAAGCAAATAGCACCCTTCCCTCTAGTAATGGTCCATAGCAGGCTTCCTCAAACCCTCCGGATGTTTTGAGACTACAATTCCCATCATCCCTGACCACTGGTCCTGCTAGCTAGGGGTTATGGGAGTTGTAGGCCAAAAACATCTGGAGGGGCTGTGTTTGAGGAAGCCTGGTCCATAGTATCCAAAGCTGGTCGGGTTACTTTGGTACCTGAAGCAGAAAAACCTTCAAGTACCTCTTCAGTACCCTGACAGTAAAAATGCAAAAATAATACATTAGATAACCTGCCATATGCTGCCCTTCCCAGACTCCCAAGTCTTCATCAAAGCTAATTCACTATAAGGCCAACCATGATCTCAAGTCAAATGTGAATCTTCCTGACCCCTATCTCTGATTAAGAGAAATGCACGAGGTGCCTATGTTTTTAATCCTCTGATTTGCATTTCCTGCATTTTTTTTGTTTTACGGTGTGAGACAACATTAGTAAGACAGTGCTCTAAGCCCTAAATGATAGAAGTAAGGAGCCAAAGAGAAGGTCCTTCTCCCCTTCTTGTGGGTCAGTCACTTTTAATAGCCTCCCAGTGAAATGAAAACAGTAAATCATACCTGTTATGTAGGGTGACATATCCAGCAGAGGTGGTGCAGGAGAAACAGAGGGAATCTCAATAGTATTCTCCTTTCAAGTTTATTTACACTGCATTATTCATTACTGCATTATATTCCTCTGAGGGGCTCACAGCAGCATCCATGGCACTCTTTTCATTTTCATCGTCACAACCACCTGAGAGATAGTGACTGTCCCACCCAGTGAGTTTCATAGCTGGGTAGAGGTTTGAACCCCAGTATCTCAGGTTCTAGTCTGACACTCTAACCACTACACCACACAGGTGCTCTATCAAAGAAGAACCGGACGACACTGTACCAAATACGTCATCCTTCTCCACTTCAGCATTAAGATCTTTCATAAACAATACAAGTTAGAAACTTAACGTCAGCTGCTTGAACTCCCCAGGATAAGCAGAATAAATTATTGTGTGTTCCCTTGCTAATAATGATTCACACGGTGTTTCTCCCGAGAGGACAAGCTATTTGGTCAACGATTCCTGTTATCAGCATTAGCATCCAGTGGAGCACTGACAACTTGCTGGATCCCACTGCACATTACTTAGACCTTGCTCATCCTCTTTCTAGTACCTATTATCACACACAGAGAGACAAACTTCAAAGATGGGAAATGGCTTACCGAGGCCCTAAGGAAATACCCTATGTCAGATCGAGTCATATTCTGCCCGAAGCCATCTGGCCCATCTGGTTCATGCTCTTTGTGTCATTCTAGTTGACTTTATACATATTTATTCACTTGAGGTCCTGAAGCAGCAAACGCTCACAAAGTCTTCTGGACCTGATTGAGACAGACAGGAAAGAGATCTGTTCCAGGACACTGTGAAACTGGGCTTTGGGTCTCCTCAAGGCTTTCACCTTAGGCCTTGGAAAGCCTCTTCATGCATAACATTCTCCCTACAAGGGTATATCTGAGTGTAGAGAGGAACAGTGAGGGAAATGTATATTTATGAACCCCACCATTTAAATAGCAATGGACAATGGAAAATCACAGGTACACTTGACACATTTTCCTGCACCCTTGCAGGGGAAAAGGTTAGATGTGAGGTGGCTTTGAGATTTTAGGGTAGGCCCTTAGGCTTAGCCATGGGTGACAACTGTACTTTGGGACAAGTCATTAATACACACTGAGAGTAATATGAGGAATAAGGCATACATGGAACACATCTAAACTCAAAGAACATGTCTGACTTCCAAAAATGGAAGTTAGGTTAACTATTTGACCTGTGCTTATACATATTTCTTATTATTATGAGGCATAACAAAATGTACCAAACACATGATATACACCTTTGATTTTTCTGAACACTGTTTTCATTATGCTTTTATGGTGATTTTGATTTTTGTTACATATTATGCCTTAATGCATAATGTTTTTTAATGATGTCATTATTATGTCTTTACCAGAAACTTTATGTTTAGGCTATTGTATACTCATCACGATACTCATAATTACCAGTCTCCTGTCTCAAAAAGATGGACTGTATCTCCCAGTAGAGATCCATATGAATATTGCATGCATGCTGATGCAAAGTCATCAGTCTTTATCTTCCTGCACAATACTTTTCTATGTGTATTACATTTTCTGACCAAAGCATAGAGCTCTGTATCTTGGAAAATGTGATATAGATAGCTATTGTGTTGGCTGTGTGGAATGTGATTGTGTATATTTCATGGATGCCTAAGTGGATATTTGAAAATGTCCCTGCATAAAAACTGAGCTGCAGAGTCGTGAGAGAGACTTGTTTCAACTTTAACAAATGGCCATTTGGATAGCCCCTGGGTTATTCCATATAGGCTCAACCTGATCTTATATATATAGCCTCAAAAGTAAGACACACTGAGTTTAGTGGCACTTCCTCCGAGGTAACTGCAATCCTGACAACACTTAAAGTACCATTTCTCTTCCTCAAAAAGTAATGATTAAGAATGTGTTAATGAATTGAAGGTACTTCCAGACTATTTTGGGGTAGAACTCAATCACACAACAAATTTAAGTGGCACAATTAAAGTTTATTTGGAACTCTTGCGAAACAAACCTATTCCCTTTCCCGACACACACAAAAATGACTTTTGGTTGGGAAAAACGTCAGTATTCTGACCAGGCCATTCCACCACCACTACCACCACCAGCAGCAACCCATTTTTCAGTGTTGTCACCCAAGCATCAGACAGCCACCAAGCATGTTCAGTCTTGAGACTATTTTGAGGAGCTTCCCCACTTAAGGGAAGTTAAAGATGCTTTGTGGCTCAGCAAGCCTTGAGGTTCCCTGGAGTTTGCCCAAACTGCATCTCTCTCTCTTTTGTGTGGGTGGTGAAATCTTGGTTACATAAGAAATGGAGACTGAAGACTGCTGTTAGTCGATGATGATGATGATAAATCTTCAAACCCTTCAAAGTGTCTTAGTATTATTATCTCTGACTGCCTAAGGGCAGCCATCTAGTGAATAAGTAGTTCAAGTGACATTTGGGCATCAAAATGTTAATGATTTCACAACACTAGCTCTTCTTTCTTCTGGCGGGACTTCATCTACCACAGGAGAGAGAACCTTTTACGGCCAAGTGGAGTGGGGAGGTGAGGATCACTTTCCATTCTGGGCAGTCTCCCATGGGCCATAGACCAGTGGTGAGTGGGACCAAAGGCAAAAGTGGACAGAGCAACAAGGATAATTTTTACCTTTACACAGTAGGCTAGTTTCTATGCACAGCTGTCTCACACCCGTCTTGAGCCTCCACCCAGAGAAGAAAGAGGTGTTCCCAGAGTTCAGGGACACATTCCAGCCAGGCAAAATCACTCACGGAAGGTGCAAAGCAAGGCTGAAGGAGAGAAGATATGTAGATGGCATGGAATGCAGAGATTCCTGAGAGCTAGATAAAGCTCTCAGGAGGGCCACATTGATCCCCTGGACCTGAGGTTCCCTACCTCCGATGCAGCAGCAAAACTGCAGCTGCAAATAATGTAACAAATAACACAATATTTTCCCTTGCTAGGCAGAGCAGCATGTGTTGGACTTCCAATTGCGAAGGACCTGTTAAACGCAGGTGTGGGAAACCTTTGACTCTAGATGGTGCTAAACTACAACACCCATCACCCCTGAGTATTGGCCATGTCTGCTGGGGCTGATGGGAGTTTAAGTTCTGCAGCACCTGGAAGGCTAAAGACTCACCACACCTGTGTGAAAGTCTCGGGAGACTTCTCAGAAGTCTCCTTTTTTGCCCTTCGGGTAAGTCAGCTCCGCACGAGCTTCTTTCCCGGCAAAGGCAAGGTGATTTGCCTTCCCCGCTCTCGGTTCCCTTTACCATCCTTGCCCTCTGCTGTTGTCGTCACGCGAAGAACATCAAGCACACTCTGAAGCTTATTGGGAAAGGGGGGAGACCCCCAAACTGAGCCGACCTTCTTTCCCCGTGTTTCTACTGCAGGACATGGCGATGCCATTCCGATCAAGGAATCCAGCTCGGGTTTTGCTGGTGTCTTGCGGGAACGCGAAACTCCTTCGGCTGTACGGGCGGTGGGCAGAGCGTTCCTTTGCCGAGGCTTCGACCTCGGCTCCTGCGTTCGATTAAGAGGCAGAGGGACGGGAGGACCGGGCGTGCTCTCGCGCCCTGCTTCCGATCTATCCGACAGGCGCACCGGCACACTGTGGGCTGCCCTGCCTACGCGGAAGCCTCTCGTGCGGAGGCACTTAAGGCGGGATCGACGCGCGAGAGTCCGGGGCTTCTATGGTCAAGTGGTGGTGCGGCTTGCGGGGGAGAGAAATCTCAGAGCATCCTGACTCTCCGCGATTTGAGGTTTCTCGACCCTGTCGGTGCTAGTAGGCGAGGGAGCCTGGATCGACTTCCATCGGCAGGGCACGACGAGGGAGAGAAGCGAATTTGGAACAGGGCTCCGATTGCGCAGCTCAAAAGCAGCCGCGTCCGATTTGCTCGGAGATTCGCGAAGGCTGCAATGCTGTGCGCATTTATCTGGGAGTAAATCCCAGAGAACCCAGTGGGGCTTAAACTTTGGACAAGCCAGGTAGAGAAGGGGGTTGGGGCATTGCAAGCCGTTAGGTAGAACGAGGGCTCGGCTAGGAATCAGGATACCCCCAGTCCTACATCACCCCTCTCCATTTCTATAATACTTCGTCGTGGGCAGAGTGGCTTGAAAATACAGAGGGATGGAGACGTGTGTATGAATGAGGATATCGGTGCACAGCATTTAAACTAAATCGGCGGAAAGATATATACAAAGCAAGGGAGGCACCGTCACATTACAGAAGAACCATTAAAAAAAGAAAGAGCATTTTCAATTCCACTCCACTAGGCAGTAGGGAAAGTCGGTTCATTGTCAGTTTGCCATCCGACGTTGCATGCTAGTTTAAAGGTGATCTATAGTAGGAATAGGCAGGTGGTCATGGGCAAAGCCAAGGGGGCTGCTGCCCCCCCTCCATCAAGTAAAACAATAGAAATACTTAACTAATTGACCAATCAGGTCGGTTCTCTCTCTCTCCCCCCACACAAAATCCTGGCTACGCCCATGCAACTGATCAAATCTTTGCAGATACTTGTAATTTGTCCAGGTCCAGCACATTCTTGCCTGCATAGGAGTCAACTCCTAGGAACCGATCCCCCCCCCAAAAAAAAAATAATTGAGGGGGCTGGGCCTCCACAAAGTTGATGGGCATTTCTATTCAAATAGTGCTGCGTCTTGTGATCAATTACGTGGGGTAGTGGTTACCTGCCCCCCACCCATATTTTATGCCAGTTGGCACCCCTGCTTGCCTGTAACCATTGCTTGCTCTCCAGAGTCTAGTTTGGCTGCAAGATACCAACCAAGGCACATGGTTTTATTGAAAGAAACTTGTTTCCATTTGGTGCCTTTAGCAATTATATAAAAAATAATCAATTCATACATAGTAGCACAAAGTTGTTTCCATTCCTTTCTCTCACTATTTGATGGCACATAATGTAACTCACAACTGCTTGGATTCTAGAAAGGAGAACTCCCTTCGGGATTTATACGGGCTAATCTCATAGGAAGAAGTAGAAGAAGTAGAGTGCTTTGTTTTCTCTTTATATATTAACTTGTTATTACTGTTTCAATTTATAAGTCACTTGCCACATAAGGCATCTGCAAGCAACTTGCAAAATTTAAAGTGTAACATAACATCAGAAAAAGAGCAATATGTTACTGTATGGCTTTTATGGTAATCTATAAAACAGACCTTGTAGAACAGCAGCAGAAACTTCAGCAGCAAAAGACATACCATCAATAAATGGCAAAATCGTCATAACCTGTCAGATTAAATGGGAGAAGATGTACATTTTTACCTGGCACCAAAAGGATGTTAACGAGGCCACCAGGGGAAAGCATTCCACAAGTGGGAATATTGCACATGCACATTAAAACAGCACATTATTGGGAGCAGAGGGCTAGTGCTTTATTCTACACTTCTGTAAATGGTGGTGGGGAACTACATAAATGGTGTGCATTTAGGAGATCAGTTAATTGCAGAAAAGTGTGTGCAGCAAAAGTATCTACAGCCAACTGCTTTCTCATTGCATAAGTCTTTTAAGAATCAGCTTAAGGGCCTAAATAGACGTTTGGGAGGATTTGTGGCCCCTGCTAACTCATATCACCCTCCCTACATTTCTCTGGTAATGCCTAGGACCACATGCAGTCCTCAGCCTAATTTGAAAGGGCACCTGCCAACTATTAGGTCAGATCTCTGGCAAGAGTGATTTGTTTCCCAGCACTGCAGCTGGGCCAGGAGGAGGAAGAGAAAGAGACAGAATGAGGAAGATAGGGTGACTCTACAGACGTTTTGCTCTGGCTCTTCCTTCTAATGACTTCAGCCCCACTCATGGAACTGGCATGGAACCCCTAGCAGACCAGCCATGAGAGAACGTGGCCCTCAATAGAGGAAAACAAGAGGCTTCCTACACTGAATCTGGTGCAGGGGTGAGGAAACATTTTCAGTTTGAGGTCCACATTCCCATCTGGGCAGCCTTCCCGGGGCCAGAAGTCAATACTGGGTGGGGCTAGAACAAAAAATGGACAGAATAACCAGAGCCATAGCTGGGGGGGGGGGGGGAGCCAGGTTTTTTTGCCCTTGCTGAAGCCTCCAAAGGGGCACCATTGAGGCTCCCAGCCTCTGTGTGTGTACACAAATGTGTGAGTGTGGGTGCCAAACTGGTTCTTTGACCTGGGTTGAAATAAAGCCTAGTTTTGCCCCTGGAATAACTAATGTGTGTGCTAGTTTTTGCACAAACCCACAAACCCCACTCTATCTAAGCAAGCAAGAGGTAAGATCAAAGTTCAAGGACACTTTCCAAATAAGCAATTTGACCATATTTAGTAAAACAAAAAAATACATGTCCATTCAGAAAGCCAATTTTGTCATAATTGGAACTCTTTTACATATGGGGAAAATAAAAACAAATCAAGGAACATCCTATTTCATGACCAAAGAGGGGAAAGGGTGTATTTGGACATGGATGTGTTTGGAGAAAAGCACCCAGTGAAGAAGGTGAAACCCCCTAACGGCTGGGAAATGTCCACGTTTTCAGTGTCTTTACCTTTGGGGTATTAATACTCTATCTGGCCATCACAGTTCATCTCCACTACTTTATGAATTTGTTCAGTGGATCAGCCTCTGACTCCTTTGGAATACTTTGTCTTCCACAACAAACAAAGATTTGCACATCCATTCTGGATTCATTTCTCATTCCTTATTCAAATGTTAGCTTTGCAGCAAAGATCCTTTTTTCATTTCCCTATTGCTACAATTACAGTATAGCTGGAATCACAAACGGCTTTCTTCCAGATGTTACCTCTAAGAACTGCATGGTAACTGAAGGAACAGGAAGTTATCGGGGAGTGGCTACATGGTTGGCAAACTGCAAAATGAGGGGGGGAACCGTCCGCTCCTCGTGCATGACTTAGGAACATGTCCTTTAACTGTCGGGATCTAAAAATTGCTACCAATACTGCCATCTGGTCATGACTCCCAGACTATTGAAAATAGAGAGCTACAAACAGGGGGCTGACTGATGGTGAAAGGAGGAATGCCATGCATTGGGTAGTCCAAGAATCTGGAGGTCTTTCATCTCAAAAACACAAAAACAGGATACAAGCTTCTGCCCTACACATAGGCTGTGTACACACTCCTGTTACTCTGCACCAATCACAGCCTTAGCAACAATCTATCCTGTAATTTATTAGGAAACACTATGTTTGCCCCCAAACAAGCTTAGATCCCATCTGAGAAAAACAACAGATTAGCTGCATTTTCAGCTGGTAATGCATACATGGTGCGCCTAACTTTGCAGGTCACCAGAGCCCACTCAGAACAAAAATGTATTCTTGAGAATCTGCTCAATGTTTTGCTCCCTAGGAGATGCATATTCTCTTGGAATGGACTCTGGATTTTACAAAAAAATCATCACAAACAAGGCTGCCAAGTCAAATCAGGCCGTGTTTAGCCAAGTTGATTTTGCTTTTATTGGTTAAAGCCACAGCAGCATCTACAGGTACAGAACAAGAAGTTGTGCATTACAGCACAATGCAGTGACCCACATAATAGGCTTTTGACAATTGTTTGCAAGCATCTTAACCCCTCTAGCTCTGTTTGTCCACTAAGCAAACCAAACACTCTAGGCATAGTTGACAGGTTTTGATTATTACTGCGGTAATCCATTTTTACATTAGCTGGCCTAAAAGCAGCTGTAAGGATCACAGGCAGGTATTTTGGCCAGCCAACAGGATCAACAAAGCTAATCAAGAAATAAATGTTTTGCTCTTCCTGACTCAGTAGGCAGAACGTACAACTGCCCCAAGCAGAAATCCTGAGAAGAATATATATATGGGAACTGAAGGATCATATTGTCCCTTATAATCCCAACCAATCACTTCCTCTCTGCAGGAGAAGGCCCCCTGCACCTACCCTTTCTCTCTGCCTTCCATAATACATCAGTCAGGTGCTGTCCCTGGTGTCTGTTGAAGACCTTCCTTTTCCAGCATATTTTTAAGTGGAGATTCTTATCCTAATTCATGGGTAGGCAAACTAAGGCCTGGGGGCCCGGATCTGGCCCGATCACCTTCTAAATCCGGCCCACGGAAGGTCCGGGTATAAGCATGTTTTTACATGAGTAGAATGTGCCCTTTTATTTAAAATGCATCTCTGGGTTATTTGTGGGGCAAAGGAATTTGTTCATCCCCCCCCATATAGTCTGGCCTCCCCACAAGGTGTGAGGGACAGTGGACTAGCCCCCTGCTGAAAAAGTTTGCTGACCCCTGTCCTAATTAGTATCTATAATAGAGATTGATCAGTCAATCAATGGATGATAGATAGATGCTTTCACTGTCAATCACTTCAGGGTATTTCATAGGAAGCCCCTTGGAACATTATTTACAACATTTTCAGGTTTCTTGTTCTCCCCTTTGGTCAACCACTTTATTGACGCAGTAGTTCTTTATATTCCAAAGGAAGTGACTGTAACATAGCCTTCTCCAGGCCAAAGAGCCTCACTACAGCCTATAGGTTCAAGCCTGGCAGTGCTTGGTGTCTTCTGGTGTGTTGCCAGGTCTTCACAATGCTCTTCCCCAGGGATGGTACTCACATGGATGCAGCCTTATACAAATGCACCTGTCATGATGTTATCCCTGCCACAAGCACAGGGCCAGGCAATGAGTTCCCAAGAAGGTGATCTGGCTTAAATAACAACCATAAACAGGCTCCAGAATCACCCCACACTTTAATAATAATAATAATAATAATAATAATAATAATAATAATATAGGCTTGTGGCACTACAGGCAAAGAAGTGCAAGTTGGTAGAGCATGCGACTCTTAACCTGAGGGTTGTGGGTTCAAGCCCCACATTGGGCAAAAGATTCCTGCATTGCAAGTGGCTGGACTAGCTGTTCCTCATGGTTCCTCCCAACTCTACATTTTATTATTCTATGGCACTAGATGAAGGTAAAGGGTTAATATCTGCCTCTTCCTAGCAGATAGCAGCTGGGTGGGTTTTCTTGTAAAATGTGGAAAATAATTATCATAAATAAAATACACATATGAAATCGGGAGGGAATCAAGCTGCAGCTTCTCTCCATAGGAAGGGCAGCTTCTTCTTCTTCTTTTTGGAGAATCTTGGCTTTAAAACATGAAGCTACCTGCCATAGACCACATCAGATCCTTGGCCCATGCAGTTCATTATTGCATACTCTGACTGGCAGCACCATTCCAGGGGCAGAGCAACAGGCGCTCACTCCATCATGGGGATTTGAACCGCCAACTTTCCAATCGGCAACCCCAAGAGGCTCAGTGGTTTATCCCAGCTCCTGCCAACCTAGCAGTTCAAAAGCACTATTTTACTTCCTTTGCACAGTTTGTGGCAAAGGTCTAGAATTATCTCATTCCAAAGAGACCTACCGTAACTTAGGTAGTACAGAAAACTGCTGCTCTTGTTTTACAGCTGTTAGAGGACTCCTGACACCACAAAGGCAAGATCCCAGAGGTGGGTGTATCCCTCATGAATCCAGTCTCATGAACATATTCCTATTGTTTACTCACACAGCTGCACATTTCCAAGCATGTTTATTCAGAAACAAATCCCTCTAAAATCAGTAGGATTTCTAGTGTTTGGGATTAACAGCCACTTAGATGAGAAGCTCCGCTGTTTTCTGGGTGTGGTCACCATTCAGCATCAGCGGTGAGAACCTTTGCTAAAATCTATTCTCTGGGTGTGGTGAGATTCCTTTCCCTTATTACTCTCATCCCCCCCAGAATCACAGCATGCTGGCTTTTAAAGGCACAATATCAACATCTATCCTTCTTACCCACGTCTGGTCTCAAGTAAGTGTCCAACCTGCCTATACCTGCCTGCTTAGGAGTAAACCCCAATGAGCGAAGGAGACTTACTCCCAGTGGTGTGTATAGGATTGAACCACATGCCATATTTGCGTTCAGGATCGCTGCCCCTCAACAGTCTTACTACTCTCGAGTTGAGAGATGCGCGTCAGCAGCAGCCAGCGGGAGGAGCCAGTCCCGTCCGCGAGTCCAGCTCCGGTTTTGCAAGTGTCCCTGGGAAAGCGGCGCTCCATTGGCTAGAGCGCGTTGTGCCTCCGCCAGGGCTCCGCTCCGCAGCTCGTGTACCACATTCGAGGGGGGGAGAGGCAGAGGGGAAAAGCGCGCCGGCTCTCTCGCTCTCGCTTCGCCTTCACGCAGACAGCGCCGCGCTCAGGGGCGTGTGCCTCTGCGGGGCTGCCTCGCCTCGCCTCCAGTTGAGTCCCCGCGGCCGGAGTTGGGAAGAAGGATGCTGCCGGAGCCGGAGGCGCTCCCCCCGGTCCTCCCGCCTCTGCCATCTCCAGCTCCCTCAGACTTCTTGGCCAGACTATGAAATGACCATTCCTGCTCACCTCGCAGCAGCAGCAGCAGCAGCTCCCGCCGCCCGGACCCCGCTCTTGCCGCTCGCGCTTGGGGCGAAAGGGCGCCCGTCCTGCCTGAGGAGGAGCCCCAGCTGGGTCTACCGGCCAAGTCAAGGCGGCTGAGGGAAGAGAGTCGGCGAGGCTGGCGGGCGAAGCCCGTTTCGGAGTGGCTGCTTCTCCTTCCACCTCAGACCCGCGCGCGCCCCTCTGTGCCCAAGTGTGCCGCCTGCCTGAAGGCGCTGCTGCCGCCGCCGCCGCCGCCGCCGCGCGCGCTTCCTCTCCTGAGGCGAAGCGAGGCAGCGCCTCTCTCTGAAGTCTCGGGCCACTTCGCCAACTGCTCCCGCTCCGCTTCGCCCTCAGGAAAAGTCGCGAGGGCGGCGGCGCTTCCAGGTGGGCCCGTGGCCGACGCAGCAGCCCATCACCGCGGAGAAAGTAGGGGCGGGAGGGTGGGCTTGGGGCACCGGCGAGCTGGACTTCGGCTTTGGGGTTTGGCTGCTTCCCCCAGCAGCAGCAGCAGCAGCAGCCATGGCGAAAGGGCTGGAAGCCGCCGCCGCCGCCCGCTACGGACTGGGACTGGGATACTTACTGCAAATGCTCGTGCTGCCCGCCTTGGCCATCCTGAGCGCCAGCAGCCCCGGCTCCGCCGCGCAAGGTAAGACTGCCCTTGTTCGGCCAGGCGGCGCCTGCCTGCCTCCCTCGCTCCTTCCCTCTCTCGGCTCCTCAGAGTTCTTTCCCGGCCTGCCCAGGTTGGACTGAGTGGCGCTGCCTGCCTGTCCATCTTCGCCGCAGAACCCCGCAAAGGCGAGAGCGAGCGCTTTCCTCGCTCACCCCTCCACAGGTTAATGGATACCAGCAGGGCCAGCTCGGGACGGGGGCGGGGAGGAGCACCTCTCTCGTTAAGCGCTATCGCTACTTCTACATTCCTCTGCCCAAGTGGCCCCGACACCTTTGGGGCGATGTTCAGTGCCGACGAATCCAAAAGGGGGCTCGTCTCTCGAGCCTTAGAACTGCCGCCTTCGAGGCGCCGCATGGGGCTGGTGGCTCCTGAGAGAGAAGGATGTGTGGATGGATGTCTTCAGGCATCCCCGCGCGCGCGCGCACACCTTCGCCTCTTCCTTCTCCATCCACGCAGCTTCTGCAAGGGAGAAACTTACGAAAGGAGGCTCTCCCCCTTTCCCCTCGCCAGGAGATGGGGAGCGAGAGGGACTCTCCCCTAATCCTGCTTGATCTCTAGGACTGTGGGGGGGAAACCCGCGATCTCCTCTGGTTGGAGCTGGAAAGTGTGTGTGTAGATATATAGGTGAGTGAGGGACAAGCTCGATCGCTTCGCTTCCTCGGGTGAGGCGTTTGAAACGCGAGTGGCGAAGGGAGTGTTGGAAGCGGCCCGGAGTGAAGCTGTGCAGCTACGCAGGCGCCTGTACTTCGCAGTTTAGCAGAGTAGGGTCAGGATGCCAGGCGGGGCATGTCCCCCGTGCCCTCGGCATATCTGGGGAAGGAGAAAGGAAAGGGTTGATGCCGGCCTTGCCAGTAGCACCCGGGGCTTTCGCTTCATGTGTCCCGGCTTCTCTCTGAGCGTGTGTTGCTATGCAGCTATGTGTCTTTGCCATGACAAGAGAACCGCGGGAGTGTTCATGGTGAGTTCCGGCACCTCTTTTTCTAGAAAAACAGCTCTGCAGAAAACCATCTGAAATCCCACACACACCCTCAGCTGAATTGATCACAGCCAGAGGTACTCCTCTAGGTCCAACACATTTTCTTTGACTTCGCTAGGAGACGGCCTGCCTAGTTTTGTGCCACCTTAATAACTGGCAGGTTTGTTGTGGCAGAAGCCTATAAGGTGCCACAAGGCTGGCTCTCTGCCCATCACCTTCTTTCTCCGTCTCTCTGTGTTTGATCTGCTGAAACAGACTTAACAGGACTACCCCTCTCGAATTTGACTTTCAGCAGGAGCACTTCAGAGAAAGTGAATCGTTTTTATGCCAGGGGCAGCTCTATAAACATGAGCCAAAGTGAGACAGCCACTTCAAGTGGCAGGTTTTGGCAGCCATGAAGGGTGGGAGGGCAGGAGAGTTGAGTGAGAGACAGATCTGCCCCATGGGGTAGAATCCAGTGGGGAAGCATTCCTGGGCAAGCTGCCTGGGGCAAGCCCTATCAAAAGGAACAGGAACTGGACGCAATGCCTCCCTTCTCACAGATGCTATGCATTTCAATTGGGGACTTGTGAAGGAGAATTTCCTGATGGATTGTGTACCATATTAAAACAGTAGTTCAAGGCACTATTTATGTTTTCCACCGTAGGCATAAAAAATGTCTGAGAGGCACCTCCAGAGCAAGTGACCTCTTGCTTTACACTTCCAGCCCTCAGGGTTTGGGGCAATTTTTTTTGCCCCTACCCAAATATTAATATGTGGACAATGCTATCAGAAACAAACGAGCCCACCCCCCACTTGAGTCGGAACATTAAGCTTTGCTGAAATTCCTAGAGCAAAATGAACTTAAGTATTTGTATAGATACCAGGAGTTCACAGTACCCTGCTGGTGTTCCTTTGCTGAGATCCCCATGAAAAGGACCATTTGCAAAGTTTGCAGTCTCTGGGCAGCATCAAAACTGGTTGGTTGGCTCAGCTCCTTTGAACCCTAGCGCCTGAATAAAAACAAGAGAGACAGACATCACACTTCTGCTGGACCTTTCAGGGGGAGCCAGTTTCCATGTGAAGGATTAGTAACAACAGGCACCAGCAGAAGGGTGGCTTTTTAGGTTTAACAAACACGCTCTTCTGTTGACTCCCCAGACAGACAGGTGCCAACTAACTTCATATATATATATATATAAACTGAATGCTGGTTTTCCTGATATAAGACTGAGGAAGCCAGAAGGAGAGACCCTCACCCCTGAATATTCACTGAACGAATTAATGAGAGAAGCTGATAAGGCTCCAACTCATGTTGAAAGGCTGGCACTGTCTTTATCTCATAACATCAAACAAACAAATAAAAGGGTTAATTGGGGAACAAAAGCAGGCTCCATAGAGATAGCCAAATGGGAAGATAATCTGATTAGTACTGGAAAGGGAGGGGGCAAGGCACTATGAATGGGACAATTAGTTGAATTGCTTAGTGCTTCTTCTTATATTAGCCATAACTGACAGGCTGAGGTGCCTGGGAGTTCATCCTTCTTTCTCCTTTTTGCTTTGCTCAGCAGGAAAAGAGCTTTCCTGAAATGTTCCTCCATTGGTTTCTAAGCCCCCTTGCCTGCCACCTCTTTCACTGCACGCCTAAAACATAATCTTTGCCCAAAGAATTTGCCTGTGTACATATAGAGAGTAGCACCATCATACAGAGATATATATCACTAGCTCGTTTTTTAAACTGAGAATAAATCCGCAGCCATTTTATTGCTATTATTATAGCCTGAAGATGACTGTAAAATATCTCCTTCAGAATTATCTCTGTGTCCCCGGGAATGTTTTGCTACATTCTGACTAACCTTGCACTAGAGCATCAGGTCTCTACATTGTATTTGCCTTGGCTTCTACATCACAAGGCATTTCCTTTGCAAGATGCTTTAAGCGAGTGCCTTCTTGAACTTCCCTTGCCACACACCAGTTGGCTCAATAACAGATGATGGAAAGAAGTTCCATACATGTGTTGAGCTATATGCCATATATACAATAACAACAAGCAGTCTTATTAAAGCTAGCTGAGAAACCTGTTTTCATTGTTACCATGGTAAAAGGAGTGGAGTGGGTAAAAGAGACACACGCCAGAAATTCACATTTTCAGCGACAGCTGAAAAAACATTGTGTGCATTAGAGGGCCCCACAGAAGACAACAAGGATAGGTGTTTCCCAGGACACCTGGAATATTGTCCAATTAGGTTTCTTTGCATAGAGCACCCAATAAAGTCAGAACCAGAATCCTTTTCAGTGTGGGCATATTTCCTCTTTCAGGTTCAGGGAATTCACAGGAATCCCCTCAAATCTTGGACATGCAGTTTGTAAAGCATTCCAATAAACTTTTTTTTTTTTAAAAAAATATCTTTTATGTTAAATGGAAAACAGTGACATCAATTATACAACATGCCTTTTTTGAACTTTTTTTTTAATATATAAAAAATAACAACCACCACCCTACTATATTAAAAACTTCTGTGGTCCAAGGAATTCCTGCAGGTCTTGGGAGTCTGGAGGACTGCCACTTTAGGGATCAATAAAGTCGCCACTATTAAGATGTCTATGAAGTTGCCCCTACTAGGTTTATTGTGCATGAAGATCTCTTGGATCACTTTATTTTTTATACTGAGAGACTGTTTTGGGGTGTCATGTGGGTGAACTTAGAAGTCAATGCTACTCTTCAATCTTTTTGAATGTGAAGAAAGAAGCTAAAAACATTTCCCTGTGTTCTGGATTGGACTGCTTTCTTAGAGATGAGCAAGACTGAAGATGGCAAAATAGTGCCCCCTCTGGAATCTGCTGTCTGGTACAACTGCTTCACATTATTTCAGTTGCAGGTGCTGTGAAGCTCTGACAGACTCAGAGGTACCGATTCTCCCATTGTCATAGCTTTAATGTAGTCACCAAGACTGCTAAGCTAACTTGGAAACTGCAGAGCCTTGAAATATATTAATGTTCCTTTCTACAGCAATTTATTCCCATATGTGCCTCCATTTGTGATTAGCTTGTTTTAGGAGGAACCTGACATACCCTTTTCTAACCCTCTTCTAATACCTTATTCATACCTTAATAATAATAATAATAAATACTGACCATGGAGCAGCACATTGCACACATACAGCTGTGCTTGAATATTATTTGCAATCATATGGTGGTGAGAGAGCTGCCACTGGGTTGTGGGGTTCAGAGTCCAAAAGGTTTGAGAGGTCTGCATTATTTCATAGTAAGGCTGGTCCTTATTCAAGTGCCCTAAAATAAAGCTGTTCTCCTTTCTTTGTGTTAGCATTTCACATCTGGCTTATGATGTGTAAATAGTGGTGTTAACGATGCTCTGTGTAAACTTCTTGTTTTTCACATTCAGTAATTACAACTGTAGTTAGGGTTGGCACAGGATTACCTGTAGAAAAGTTTTGCAGAGGGAATTGCAGCAGTGTCTGGATGTGGAAGACTTTTTGTTGTCCTCATCTGTGGAGAACATTCATGTAGTGGTTAGCTAATGTTAACGTTTTACATTTCACTCTCTCTTTCAATTATGCATGTTGCTTTTCCCGTGCAATTTTAATAATATTATGAATGTTAACTTCATATGGGCACATTCAATCTTAACTGTATATGGCATTCTGATTTAATTTAAACTGTGTAATGAATGAAAGAGGAGTCCTGCTCACTATACCTACTATAAGATGTCCTGGAAATAGAATAGTGGATGTAATAAATACATAAGTGAAAACCATTGCAGAAAGAGGAGAATGAAGCATAGCCATTGGAACTCTTAGCAGGTGGTCATGAAGCTTTCTCTTTTCCTGACTTTCTCTTAGTCACAAATATGTGAGAGCAGATACCAACTGAGAAAGCATTAAAGCAAAGGCTGAACAAAAATTCCTGACACTTTCTTTTTAATTATTTGACCAAGATAGTGTAATGGACCATAGGAGACTGATATTTTTGCTACAAATTTGGATGGTTCACAGGTTCCCCTGCTCCTTCAACTGATATAATGATGCATGTTGCCCTATGCAGATGTTTACAGAGAGTATCAAGGGAGGGATTGTAGTCATGGTCGCACAGCCCATCCCACTAATGGGCCCAGTGATATACTGATCATAATATCTACACAGAGACCTGCATAGGATAGGACCCTGTGCACATAGAACTCTGTGCAGACACTATGGTCAATGAATAGCATTTCCAAAATGTGGCTCCCCAGATGTTGTTGGACTACAACACTCTTCATCGCCTGTCAGTGAAGCTGGAGGTCAGGAACAATAGGGTTTGGAATTACACAACATCTGAGGATCAAAGTCTGAGAAGGGGTAGTATGGGGTGCAGGGGGATGTTACTGGATCCACAATCTTCTCTCTCCTCTTTAGCTGAATTTTGCATCACAATTTTTTTTTCTGGCTTAAAAAAAGACTCCCTAAAGCTTATGGCGACACTCTTGACTCCATAGTGCACTGCACTATGAGAATTAGACAGCCAGTCTCATGAGAACTCAGATTTCAAACCTGGCTTTGCTTTTGTAGGATCCAAACCCAATTAAATGAATGATTTAAATGAAAACTTCTTCTAGTTTTTCCATTTTAGTAAGTAAAGTGGGTCTTTTCTTTTGTCTCAAAAAACTCTACACCCTGGAATGATTTTCATAATTATCAAGCATTTTGCCTTGTTTCTTCTCTTGATCTTTTGAAGTAGGGCATGGATGCCTTGGGCATTTCTGGAGCCCTCTCCAGTCTCTTTCCACTACAACTTGGAAAACAAATTCACTAATTGAGAAATTGATGGATTTTTTTTTAGCCCTCTCCCTAGAGAGATGTGCTGCTCAGCATACGAATAAACCACTGAGGATAAAGCATTAGGAAGAACTATGTTTATAATTAACTGGGGAAATAATTATAGTTTTCTATTGTATTACTAATCTTTATTTTAACATCTCAGGCTGTGTGCATATTTGATTTCTTCAAGCTGCCAAGATTTATTGTGATATTTCTTGGGGATAAGTTGTTAGGTGTGAGCTACAACTTACGGGCCTTGGAGTACCGTATTCGCTTTCATAGGGCTTAGCTAAGGAGTCACACAAATGAACAACAATGCAGTTATATATATAATAATAATATCTATACAGTACTTTATAAGTTCAGGGTAACTTACAGTGACTTGCAGTAATATACATGAAAAGTAAAAGCTGCAGAACGTAATAAAATAAAACCATAATGTCAGATTAAGAAAAGCAGAGCCAGCTGTTACCCATCCCTTATGATGAAATTTCCGTAAGACTTTCTTAAAGAGAAATGTCTTGGGCTGCACTCCTGCACACAAATCAACTGCATAAATCCCATAGACCTCAGTGGGATTTACGCAGGCTAATTGTGTGCACTGTTGCATCTTTAGGACATACTTCTAGTAATATGTGGACATGGGAGAATAGAGCTATTTTGAAAACTTTTATGACAGCAGGTAATCTAGCAGACCAGGCAAGCTGTTTTTCCCTTCAGTACTCTATTTGCTATAAAGGAGGACAATCAGCTGCAGGAAACACATTCACAGCATCTCAAACTGTACATGTACTTCCTGCTTGCCAGCACTATGATTGTATAGGACTGTGGCCATAAGCTGGCTTCTAAACGCAAGCAGGGGAGTGCTGTGATAATTCTCCCTAGGAAAGTAATTCTATAAAATGGGGCCACCACTGTGAAGTTCCTATTCCCTGTATATTTGCTAATAATACTTCATAAGAGATTAAAACTTGGAGCAAGGCCATGGTGATAATAGGGAACAGGATGCCTCATTTGTGGATAGGATTCTCCCTAAATAGTGCTTTGCATTTTATATGATCACTTCTTCACTGTGACCCCAGAGCTGTGTGTGTATTCAAGGTTGCAGTGCAAAGAATATAGATTCTAGCACTAGAAATCAAAGGAGAGGAGAGAAGGAGAGAAAGACCAGACAGTATACTACTCGAAAAGCTTTTTTTAACTGGGGAAAGAACCAGATGAAGAAGGATGGAAAGTGACATACTACACCCATGAGCTATAGGAAATCTTTAGGTCCTTTCTCATTTGTAGGTGTCTTGTGATGCCCTTCTTTTTAAAATAAATAAATAACCCAGCATAGCATGCTCTGTCTTTCTCTCATCCAAAGCTGTATCACAGGAGACTGGTGTTAGCCAGTCCAGATCTGTGAACGCTCAACTACTTTATTTAGTGAAACAATAAAATAGCAGTCCAGATTTCAGATAACTACCAGACTAAACCCCACATATCAGGTTGAAGTAGGCAAAATGCCCTTATCGACTAAATTTCCCTTACTTTGATATATCATCTCTGCATTTAGCTTGCTATGAACTGATTATTGAACATTTCTGGCTTATGCCTTTAATTATGCATTCTGAAAATTTCTACTGATGTCAGGTACTGCAACCATTCTCCTCGTAGCACAGCATTCAGGTCCCCTGGTGACACACACAGCACTGACAGATTTATATGCTGAGGATGATGGTGAAAGAGTTGGGTTTGAAAGTAGAGGTCGAAGGTTATGCATATTACACAGATTTTGTTTCATTTGTTCCATGTGTGCATGCTGGCGACTATATTGTGAAAAGTTACCAAGTCCCCCCCCCCCCCTCAAAAGAACCTATAATTAAATTAAAGTGATAATTCTGAAAGAGGAGAATAAAAGGAGCCATATGTGCAGATATTTTCTCTAACTCACTGTATTAGCAACAGCAGCAGTTTGAAAATGCTTGGTGTGGAAAAAGTGAAATATAATATGAGAATACGCCAACCTTCTGGGGATACGCTTTTTAATTAAGCACCTAAATGAATCCTGTTGCCGAAAGAGAGAAGGAGAGAGGGAGGTTGGAGCGAAAAAAAGGACTTAATTATCTTGATGCATCAGTGAACCAGTTCTATTTGATATGTTGGCTGTAACTATTTGTATTTGTAAAAGAAGTGCTGAGTAGGATTTGCCTGTAAACCAGTTTGCAACATTTTCTTTCTCTCTCTCTCATATTCTGAGCTCATGCACTTGATGGATTCAACAACCTTAATAATTTGGAACCTGTCTGCCACCTTCACTTTCATCTTATTGCACTGGTAGCCACACATCATGATCAAAGCTGTCCACTGGGGTTCCTTGCAGTGCAGAATGCAAACTTCAGCAAGACAATGGAAACGATACCTTGTGTGTAGGTGTATAATGATATATAATTTTGTGTGTGTGTGTGTTCAGTACACCTCATAATTATGTAAAACTCTATCCACTAATACCTGATTTAAACAGTTAGGAAAACATGAAAGTTATAAAGTACAGTCAGTTTTTAGTTCTTTTCCACATGGATGGTGTTTATATGCATTTTTGTTATAGGAGTATAATCAGTGGTCCAGTTTGGACATAATGAAAAACCGTGGTTACCTGCTCTGAGAGCATACATCTTCCAGTTGGGAACTGTTGATTTAATTTTCAGGAAGAGAATGTATTTGAAATAAAACCAAAAATGTTAGGAGCTTAATAGGAAGTGTATCAGTTCCATGGCCTAGCTACTAAACATACAGAACAGGGATATATTATAGTTAGGGCTTTTTTTGTGACAGACAGTACTCATCAGTACAGCACCTCTTTTTGTGGTTTGCAGAAACTCTTTTGTGCTGGCACCCATGACACTTTTATTAATATATGAGTACCAGCACTCCATCTTTTTACCAGAAAAAAACGCCAGTCGTAGTAATTAAAATGTCAGAATTTTTCAACTTGTTGATTTGTGTTTGGACATTACTCAACATGGAATTGTCATATATAATGTAAGCTAAAGCTATGATTTGGACATTACTTTTGTATATTTCTTTTAGATATACCGGTATATTGCATCTTTAGATTTCAAGAGAATATGTATGGGACAGAAACCAGTTTGGCATATGAAAAAATATGTCTAATTGTCTTCAATGGATCTTAATTGGAGGGTGCTAAGGATTGACCAATGTTCCCAAAAATAATTCCCATTGAATTTAATGGTTTTCTTTGCTTTGGAAGCATGCTTAGGCAATTGGAAAAATGAAATGGATGACTACTCATCTTTTACTGTCACCTCACTCCTATTAATTCACTGTAAATTCAGTTAATCAAGAATATGTTCTTGCTCCAGCCTCATCTAAAATTACCTTGAGTTGCTTAGGGCTGTTGCTGTATTTCTGCATATCCCCCTCCATTCATCATTGTAATGATGGCTGATGTTCATGGTAGATATAAGTCCCAAATCAAAAGTAAGGCATTTAGAAAATGCCTTCAGAATACTGTGCAGCATTCTAACTACTTTTGAGACATCAATAAATTGTTGCTGAACATCAGTTTCCAAAACAAACACTAGCTGTGCTAGGTTTTTTATTATTATATCCGATTAGTAGGTATACTTTAGTTCATCCATAAAAACATGATCATGGAGAGAGCGAAAAGGAAATGTATTTCTTTGTCTATGTAGTTTTTAGCCACCCAGTGGAGATGTTAAAATTTAGCAGGCAATCTTGACATCAGAGCTGATGCCATTGCTGGTCATTTGTGTTAGCATGTTTCTTTTCAAATATTTAATATGCTGCTTTTCCAGGGGAAGCCCATCCAAAGCAGCTTACAACAGGAAAAGTGACAATTATAAAAATTGGTCAATTACTAAAACAAAAACAGATCCACAAGAATAAAACAGAGTCAGAACTTGAGCAACATACAAATATTACAGCTGCCATGTGACGAGGAGGACAAAAAAATTAAAAATTACTAGGGGAAGGCCAATAAAATAAAATGAGTTTTTAAGGCCTTCTGAAATGCCCGACGTGTAACTGCCCACCACAGCTCTATTCCAGAGATTTTGAATGCTTGGGCCCAAGACATTTAGGACTTTAAACATTAACACCAGCATTTTCAACTGAGCCTGGAACTGCACTGGATGATACTGAATGAAGCTGACTACTATGCACTATCAGGAATCTAGTATAGCAGCATATTGAGCCTGCTGAAATTTACGAACTGCCTTTAAAGGCAGTCCCACTTTAAGTACATTACAGTATTCTAGTCTAGTTTTCGCTAGAGCATGAGTCATTGTGGTTAGTCTCCCCTTTTCAGAAAGGACTGCAGCCGGTAAAATGAACTCTTGACTGCTGGTGCTAGTCATTTCCTCAGAGTCCTGCCTTTAGGCTCTACGTTCTGTGATGAAACAGTTTAAGCACTTTAGGCTACAGTTCTATACCTACTTACCTTGGAGTGAACCTCCTAGAACTCCATACCCTCCAACATTTCTCTGATGAAAACAGGCACGTTCTATTCCATAATAAGGATTTTATTATTTATCTGGCTGTGTTACCCCAGCTATCCAGCTTCCAACATATATAAAAACCTATCAAAACATTAAAAATTAAAAACATTCCCTATAGAGGGCTGCTTTCAGTTGACTTCTAAAGGTTGTATGGTTACTTATTTCCTTGGATTGGGGGCCGCATAACTCCATACCCTCCAACATTTCTCTGATGAAAATAGGGACGTCCTAAGGAAAAGCGGGACATTCTAGGATCAAATCAGAAACCAGGGCGGCTTCTGTAAATCCGGGACTGTCCCTGGAAAATAGGGACACTTGGGGGGTTTGGAACTCAGTGGAGTTCACTTTTGAGTAGATGTGAATAGGGTTTTGCTGTCAAAGGCCAAGTTAGGGATCAAGTGTGAAGAATAAAAGAGACAGGCAGTTCCTTTTCCTGTATGGAGTCATAGTTCAGGACTAACTGCTCTCAAGGCCTCAAAAAGAACACAAATGCAGGAAGTGATTTATTGCAAGTACTCCACAGAGCTCCCAGTCTCACGTTAAGACACCACTTGAGCTCATTATATCATAATATTGTTAAACAGGCAATCTTAAGGAAATGATATTAAGCCTCTGCGGTGCAAATTTTATCTAAGCAATGACTTAATTTGCAGCATTTTGCAATTAATGTGCTGAAAGTGTAGGGAGACAGAAACAAACAAACAAACAAACAAACAAACAAACAGAAACAAGGGTAAGCAGGGAAATGTCAAACTCATATTAACATAGTTCTTTGACCTCTCAGTTCTACAGATGCTTCATTTCAATGTGACATTTTAAAATAATGTTTATAAGCAGTGTGCTTATGTATTTTAAAAAGGAATGTAGCTAACTATCCATCCAACATTTGTTCTATGACTCTTTGCCATATGATAGTACACAAAAATGGAAATTTAGACAACTAAATTATGCAAGAATAATAAGTTTGATTTGTGACAAGATTAGATATGAGAATGCATAGAAGCTTGAGGGAATTATTTTTCACCAGCTTTACCAAAACTTTAATTTACTGCACTTAACCTTTTATGGATGTTTTGCCCAAGCTAAATGTGCTGACTCTTGGGAAGCAAGTAAGGAAAGCCCTAGATTAAATGTGTCCGTACTTCACTGCTTGTTAATTGCTGTCTCATTTCTCAATTTTAAGGTAACTTTAAGATTCTGAAATAGTGTGTCAATCTGCCAGCTTTGTAGCTTTGTACCCACAGTATTCATTAACACAGATTATGTAAATCATAATTGCCTAAAACAGGCTGATCGCTGCAACTCTGAGTTTCTGCTCTGTGTGACATTAAATGTATATTTGCATTTAATATGCATAGTGTTTTTTAAATGCAAATAGGAGCCACTGAGGGGGCTGGTTATTATCAGGATCATAGCAGGTGAGAAGGAAAATTTAACCCTTTCCTCCTCTGCTACAGCCTCAAAGATAATCATTCCTTTGAAATTACTATTTGCATTGGGAGAAACCAGTAGCAACATCACATCCAACTTGACCTTAAGTAGCTCATCCTTGAAGCAAACCTATAAACATATTTACTCTGAGGTTAATCTATCAGTGCTCAGTGGGACTTTTGCTCTAGTCACTGTGCCTTAAAGTATTTTCATAGTGAGAAGCAGGTCCAGAGATGGTTATAAACTGTGTAAATTATGACACTCTCATACACTAGACCTGCATGCAACAGAAATTTGAGCCTTGCCAGCATGCCATTATGAAATTAGTCATGGCATTGGTATCTGTATGGGCAGGGCTTAGAATGAACTACTTTATGGATCTACGTGAGATAAATTACGGGAGAGCATTACAAAGTTCACACAGAAATATAAACAACGTTCCTTTCAACTTGGAAACAACTCGGAGGTTATTAAGAAGAAAAAGGATAACGACAAGGAGATGGGAAGATGGGACTGTAAATATCAAAGCAGCAGAAATATAAGATGATTGGACCCCTACCGAACTCGAAGCATGGGTACCCCCCACAAAAGAATTAAAATTCGGTTGAATATTTGGACTCTGTGATATGTATTGGTATAATTTGGAATAATTAATTAATATGATGTGATTGGTTTGGTAAATAGAAATATAATAAAAATTATTTTTTTTTAAAAAAAGAATGAACTACTTTAAAGCTGTAAGTGGGTAGCATCCAACAGAATGATATTCATAGTAGACCCACTGAAATTGTTGACTCTAGTTCATTGATTCCAGGGGTTCATATTGTGTGCTAGAGGGATCTGATCCACACATTCCAAGCACAACCAGTTTGAACTGCAGTTGGAACTGCAAGGTAGTTTTGGTCTCTTGGAGAGCTTTTCCCTCCCCTCCACTTTTGACAGATTTCCTGCACAGATTGGTACAAAATTGAGCTGCCTTTTAAAAATATACCAGCCAGCTTTATGAAGTCCAACTTGTTCAGTACTCATTCATGCCATATCTGTCACCATAGCTGTCTGGGGTAACAAGGTAATTAAAGCCTAAGGACAAAGCCGTATTTCATTATTCAGAAAGAAGGGCCCGTCTAATGAATCCAATTTGCTTAAAATTGTGTCAGAAACATTAGCCCAGATTCTAATCTCACTAGATAACTTATCTCTCTGTTGGATCTTTTATTCAGTCCTCATTATGGCACCCCCCCCCCAACATTATTCTTCTGACCTGCTTTTATCAGCACTATTCCTGAAAATTGTCCCCTTGCTTCCTTTTAGCTTTCAGTCTGTGAAAACATTGGATTCATTCCCCTTGCCACCTCTATGGATGTGGTATGAGCAATGCTTTTAATCTTTATACTGCTTACTTGATATGCAAGTGTAAAATTATAAAAAAAAAACATAATTAAAATACACAATTTCATCAAAACATGTAAACACCCATAATGAAGTGTACAATAAAACAAACCCATTTAAACAGTTAAGGCAATTAGATCAGGAAGTTGAAGTCAAGAGACCAGGGGCATGGTTGTCTAAACAGATATATCTTCAGGAGCCGGTGGAGTGCCAGTTCTGATGGAGCCTCTCATATTTCATCAGGGACAGCAATTCGCAAGACAGCTGTTACCCTTGAAAAGATTTGCCTCCGTGTTACCACAAGCCAATAATCACCATACTGTAAGAAAACTTATCTTTTAACACAGAATGTTTAACACAGAATGTTAAAAGAGCTTGCAGATCATGGCAGACCTGCAAGGCTAGATGCAGAGTTGGCATCCTTGACAGATGGCTGTCGGCCTCCCCTTAAATACCTACAGTGAAGAAGAGCCTTCCACTTCCTGAGCCAGTCTGTTGCTTACCTTAAGAAGTTTCTCTTAATGTTTAACATAAATCTGTTTCCCTGCACATTCCAACCAAGAAATCCGGGGCAAAAAAGAGTGGATCCTGCTGTACATGCTGTGTTGTGACATCACTAAACAGCATTAGTTGAAAAGTTGGCATGTAGTTGTAGAATGGCCCAGGGGAGGGTTACAGCAGGATAAAATTCATGAAGTGTGGCTGCCCTTTTTGTGTATATAAATAATCATAAAGAAGAAATGCATCCCCTGACTTTCCAGTACTCTTTTTGGAGGAATACATTTGTATAATTTATAATATTCTCTGCGTTTTGTTGTGACTATGTTACACTGATGTCAAAATTGATTGTATTCTTTGCAGACCTGACCCAAATAAAAAAAAAAAAATCTCAATAAAATTTATATATATATTCATGTTTAGCAAGTGTGATGCTAATTCAGTAGGATTCAATCAGGCAGCAGCTGATTTCCCCTTTTAGTCAGTTTTCTCAAAGCAAAGTGAGTTTATTGCTAAGAGGTTGAAATGTTAAGCTATGCAGATTATCCGCAAATCCTGCGAGAAAAGATCAAATTTGGATTTACCTTGGATTCTCCCTTGGGTGCAGACTCTAAAAGTCTGAGAAACCTAATTGTGCTTCTTATATCCAAGGAATTTGTGTGTGTGTTCTTATTAAGGGGAATTTCATTTATTCTGAGGGAAGTCTTCATTTTTTTTTTGTTGTCTGTTCTGCACACAAGAAAACAGAGTATGAACAATCTGTAAGTGTATTTGGAAGAATTTGGCTTCAAGGGCTGTGTTTCTCTTCCCCACCCCAAAAGAGAATCAGCATGGTGTGGTAGTTAGGGTTATACTGCGGTCTTGGAGATGAGGGTAAATATCCCACTCAGCCCTGAAGGCCACCTGCCTAGCAGATTTGGGGGGCCTTTGGTGGGCTGGAAAGTGGAAGACCCATTGTGCATGTACTGTAGATTTCCATGCACAGGCAGTTGAGTATCATTGGATGTCACCCACAGAGTTTCTCTCTTATAGGTGTGTACACACATCTGGAAACTCTGATTTAATTAGGGTGTAGCACAGATGTATTTTCCAATAATAGTGTTTTAAGTGCAATGTGCAGAGTTACCCTTCATGTAGAATGCAGCAGTGCCATTTTTGTATTACATATTCATCAATGGGGATAACTGTTTTTTGATTTGTCTGCTTCGTCTTGCAATGTTATTTTAAAGGTCCTTATTTTTTCAGAACAAAACAAATCCTTACATACTTCTGAGTAGTGATCACTAGTTCAGTGAAGCTCTCCAACTGTGTGTGTGGTAAATATTCACTTATTTCCTTCCACTGCAATAATTTTTGCGGGATGAAATATCCGGATGTGATGTGTGTGTTTCTTGAATGTGCATTTATAAGAGATCACAGGATAAATGGACTTCAAATAACTAAAACTGAGTGATACACCACAAACCCCTCATCTGGTGTATCTCACAGCTGAGTTTTGTCTAAGTAATTTTGCCTTAATTGCACAAGTTTTCTACAGAGACCTTAAACATTAGTTGGACCACATCTTGTTCTCATCTTGGGAAAAGTCAGACCACTGTTTTTCTCAGGAAAGGAACCTTATGATGAAGATCTGTGTAACACTGTTTTCTTGAGTGAGGTTATATGGAGTCTCTTGGCTCTTTGCCTTTTATAAATTTGCTAAACCCCTGGCCCCAATCGCAATGTGTATTTTGACAATTGTAAGGTTGGACTGAGGTTAATGAGTTGGTTCTACAGATAACATCAGATTCCAGAGACGTCAAGTTTGTTTTGCATTCAGTGACAGTCATTAAATCAAAGGAAGGAGCCTTCTTAAAAGAAACACACTTGAGGAAAAGAGGTTTAAAAAAATAAAAATGGTGTATTCCTGCTAATAGCCACTCACTGCATATAACCCCACTGACATTAAAAGTCCATTAGCTAAGCCCAGTTTAAACAGCAGCTGATGCTATGTCAGCTAAATGTACATTGGAATTTTCACATAATGCACAAATGGGACATCTGTAATTTTTCTAAAACAATGTACATTATAGGAAATCAAATATCATCTGGTAGAAGTAGATATGTAAGAGCAAAGTACCTGTAATCAGCCAAACCAATAAGAAGCAGAAGAAAGCAGAGATGTAACTAAAAAGACCTCAAAGTTAATGAAAGCCAAGCTCATCTGACAGTGCAGCCTTGTCTCTTCAAATGTGTGTCTCATTGAATTGCATTAGTCTTATTTTCAGGTAAACGTGTGTGGGAATAAAGCCTCAGTTGTTTGGGGAGAAGTGTACTGGGAACTTTCAATAACATGTAAAGTCTTTGTATGCAATTTTTCACGATCACAGTGTGTGAGAGAGTGTGCATCATTGGTGTTTATGGATGCATGCAGTTACTCACATTGCATGAATTTATACAGTGTCATTAGTAGAGGTGGCATATGTGACAACATAAGCAAAAATACAGGCCCCACCCCGAAGACAGTAAGGATCTTCTAGTTTTGCAGTAGGGCAAGATCATCTCTGCCAGGAAAAAATCTGCCCCATGAACTGATATCAGTTGGCCAGATAAATTGTTGGGCCTTTTGTGGGCAGCGGTGTCCCCGGTGACAGCAGAGACACAAAAGGAGTCTAGCCCCTTTGGGAGGGGGAGTGCAAGGGGCAAGGACCCATCTTCAGATATTTTAGCCAACAGATTTATTTCCAATGGCTTGGGAACTGTTTGTGGTTTTGTTTCTTGGTGGCTTGATGAGGGGTGATGGGGTTTTTTTTGCTGAGGCAGATGCGGAGAGTTTTCTGGTGGTGGATTGTGTGTGGGCCCAATGGGGTAAACATGATTCACAACTGAGGTTTGGATAGTTGAACAGATAACTGAAGTCTCTGGCATGTTCTGACTATTCTTCCAACCAAATATTTGTTGTCTTGCCCTTGAGTCTCTGCTTGTAGATGCCAGGTCAGTTTATAATACAGAACCATTCTGTATAACCAAGACCTGGGTGGGGAAGCAGGCGGAGGGTTAGTCTTTACCAGCTCTGCCTACCCAGGTATTTGGTTCAGCACAAGAGTCCACATTTAAGACTGGGCTGCTATGGTCTACAAAGATACCATATTCCTCTACAGGTTTCCTATTCATCTAGGTGTCAGTTTGTTGGGCCAGCGGCATAGATTCACAGGCTTTCGACAGTTCAAAACATGCTCAAGTCAGCTTACAAAATGTAAAATATACATAACTATGACATAACAAAAGTAGTTATAAACAATAAATGAAACTTTAAAAAAACACACAACCCAAACAAGCAACTTCCACATAAATCACAAGATCTAAAATAAACTTAAAAAGTAACAACCTCCCAACAACAAAACCCCTAAACAATATCCCAACCCAAGAGTCTGTTCAGCAGCCTCAGCTTTTGTAGCTGGAGTCAGTCATGGCCTGGGCCTCCCAGGCCAAGTGGAAAAATACAGGGAGCAGGTCTTCCAGGACCCACAGCCAAGATGGTTACACAGCTGGTACCAGAACTTTTTCCTTTCAAGGGTTGGTGACCACATTTCCCATGGCCTGTGCCACTGGTGGCTGATGAACTGCAGGTTAGCCACTCACTGTGATTTGTACAGCCTAGGTTCAAGCGGAGGAGGGGATGCATTGAAGTCTTTGGGGGAAATTGCCTGCACAAGGTAGAAGCAAAATGTATTTTAATGCACAGTGAGTTTTTTTTCCTTCAATGTAGGCATGTTTAGAGATAGATGCATATCTTTTAAGCACGTCAGTTAGTAAGAACCTGAAATTCTTCATACCCCATGCTGTGCACATGTGTGCCTCTGTTATAACTAGCTTAAATTGCAGCACTCTTCGGGCAATAAATATCCAGATCTGCTGAAGCAGATGTTCATGGAGAAATATATTTTGAAAACATTCATCACATAATTGAAATGCAAAAAATGGAAATCATAAGTGACAGTGCATTAAAAAAAGAATTGTATTCTTTACAGAGCTCTGCTGTTTATACTGAAAACCAAGCAGTGAACTACAAGCTCTTAACCCAGAGATCAGAGGCTCCTAAAATACAAACAGCTTAATGCCCAAATGCTGCTGGCATCCAACCCCATTTTGATAGGTTGTTATTTTAAAGTGTCTTGTGAAAATAGTCATTGTGCTGTTTCTGTAATGCCATTGTGGAGACAGAGGGTTTTTTGGTAAGCTAATGTGCAAGCTGGGATTGGAATAGAGCAGTAATTAATCACTTTTCTGTCACACTTATAACTACTATGAAATATTACTATGACCTCCTTCTCCCACTTCTATTACCAGTCCATTAGCAAAAACCTGTGCAAGTATCAACAAGTGTTCCTAAGTGTATGACCAGTGGATACATAATCATTACGAAAGATTAATGCCTATGTGGTTCCTTGCTTTGCAGAACACTATGCACCCCATTTTAGTTTGAAATAGCCTTATTCTTTGCAAACTTTTTCAGAGAATTTGTGGAAAGAGCCTAGAAGCCCTGCCAAACTTTAGTTCCTGGGTATCCTGTATTATGGGATACAAGAATAACTAACTCTTTACAATATGTGCAGGACCCTTTAACATTTGCCCACTTGCCTCCAATCATCTTTTGGCTTCAAACCACTAGTCATATGCAAGCCTTCCAATATGTTAACACTCTGTTTCTAACAATTCCCCCTATTAAATTAAAATGTTTCATTTGTTGACAAAATTATATATGTGGGTATTTATGAGCTGTGAGAACTATAGAATTGAATTAATGTTTAGAACTAAGAACGCTGTGCAGATGGAAGCTGTAAAGATAATGCAAAATTGGTTGTGACAGTGGCTGCATACTACAGACCTTGTATATTCAGCAAACCGTCAAAACCCGGGGAAGGGTTGTAGCTCAGTGGTAGAGCATATGTTTAGCATGCAGAAGGTCTTTATGCAGGGCTGGGAGAGGCTCCTATATGAAACCCTGGAGAATGACCACTAGTTAGTATTGAAGAGCATGAACCAGATGGACTAATGCTTGGATGGTATAAGGCAGCTTCCTATGTTCCTATTGAATGCCTGGTAGATGAATATAAGATAATATATCTAATCCAGGGGTCGACAAACTAAGGCCCGGGGGCCGGATGCAGCCCACCGCAGACCTTGCAGACCCTGCTGCCTGCTCAGTCAGTCCCAGCGCTAAACAGGCGTGGTGCAGGGGCTGACTTCCGTGATGCTGGTGCAGCTTCGGATTGGCCACAGGAATCTCCTGCAGCCAATCCAAAGCTGTGGGTGCCTCTGGGCGATGTTCTTTCCTTCCCGCTGAGGTGGCAGTGTATGGCCAATAGCCGAGTGGGAGGAAGTGGCAGTGGCGGGGCAGTTGCCTCCGCCACCCAGGCCAGCGGCATGGGCTCTGCGCCCCACGAACCCCTGGCCAAGGCAGAGGACGACGCTGACGCTGCCGAAGACGAGGCGGCATCAGCAGCTGTGGTGTGAGTGGTGGCAGGCCTTTCAGGAGAGGGCTGTCCTTTCCAGAGGGGGTTGCTCTTAGGAGAGGGTGGGTCCGGCCCCCCCACAAGCTCTGAGGGACAGTGGACTAGCCCCCTCCTGAAAAAGTTTGCTGGCCCCTGATCTAATCCATTCTCTCAATGAATGGTAGAGTAATAGTTGAAAGAGTAAATATTTATGCAAGCTTTACCTACAAGCTTTTACTCTCTGATGTTGCACATATTATATGGTGCATGCTTGTGGAGATCCATGAACATATGCTAATTTAGATACTACATTGACTGCATAGGAAAGGAATAGGGATAGGATGCATGCATGTGTTCAGTAGCACCCAATGTACCCACTTCCACACTTTTAGACTAGACTCTATAACTTTGTAAGCTTTTAAGGGTTTGTCAACAGAAACTGCGCAAAAGCTGCTGCTCTAGTGGTAAGAACATGCATGCGCCAAGTTGTGTAGTGGACTGAAAAAGAAACTAGCCATTTGAGACAGAGGTGCAAGAATTGTTTTCTGAGTAAAGGAGAGACAGAGCAAAGATTCAAGGAGTGGAGACTACTTAAGGAGCATTATATGCATCTATAAAAGACAAAAGATAGGAAAGTGACAGATTGTGTCACAACAGGTGAGAAAGTAACACATTAGTGCTTAGTGTGCAAACAGAACTTTTGGTCAAGTTTTAAAAAATTAGACGTCTTGTGTAGAAGAAAGTTGGACGTTTATTCCTATTACATAGGTTAATACCATTTTTATGTTCATTTTGTTCAGCCTGCATTACGAAAGCAATCTTGGTTTGTAGAAAGAAGCAGTTCAGTATTACAGTGGTGCCTCGCAAGACGAAATTAATCCGTTCCGCGAGAGTCTTCGTCTAGCGGTTTTTTCGTCTTGCGAAGCAACCCTATTAGCGGCTTAACGGATTAGCGCTATTAGCGGTTTAGCGGCTATTAAAGGCTTAAAGGCTTAGCGGATTAGCTGCTAAAAGGCTATTAAAGGCTATTAAAGGCTTAGCAGATTAGATAAAGGGGGGGGGGAGCGAAAAAAAAAATCTCAAGACTCGCAAGACATTTTCGTCTTGCGAAGCAAGCCCATAGGGAAATTCGTCCTGCGAAGCAACTCAAAAACGGAAAACCCTTTCGTCTAGCGCGTTTTCCGTCTTGCGAGGCATTCGTCTTGCGGGGCACCACTGTAATGGCAGAATGCATTGTGCTGCTTATTTCCAAAAGCCTTAAGTAACCATGTAAGAATGGTTGCTACAAAACAAAATCTGACAATACACATTGTTGTGAGTTGGGGAGGGGTAGCCTGCAAGATGCCTGAGCCTCTTGTAATTCACAGGGTCCTGGATCCAACAAGGGTTAAAGTCTAATGGAGGATTCAAATGTTGAATATCCAGGCCAGCTTCTTGGTGAGTTAATGGGCCCAAGTTGATATAACAAAGGAGGTTGTTCTGGGCCAGAGGACACATGGCTGGGCCACCTTCCTTACCTGGCTGGTAGTGAGAAAGATGGAAGCTGGGCTAAAAGCAGGCTGGTGGCAGCAGCCAGAGAGACAGAGCCATACTTGATTTCTGCTTCAATCTGAGATGTGACTATGGGAGAAGCAAGGGGGGGGTGTTAATGCTGTGAGCCCCTCAATTGTAGGCTTAGGTTGTATATACATGTAAATAAACCATATACCATAAAGATGTCACACTTTATGCTGTCCTTCATTCCCTCATTCATTTAACATAAGATAACACTACTTTAGTCCCCCCCATTTTTTTGGTAGTTTAAAGATATATCTTAACAGGTTAAAGAGATATCTCTAATGACCAAATGAGGCAAAATCAGGTTCATGGCCTCTCTTTGGTTACGCTTTACTTCAGACTAGCTGACTATATAATCAGTCCAGTTGTTAGAACTGCCAGTCATCAGCCAGTACATAGTCAACCACTTTCTAACTGGTATCTTACCACGATGGACTTTCAACCACAACCACACACCTGCATCTTATCCAAAACATGGGAAGTTAAGGACATAGGGTTGAATAAGAGGATAATTCCTGTTCAACCAACAGTTCCTCGTTTTGCTCCTTTTTCTCAACTCCTGAAAATCTCCAAAATGGCCCCTCCATATTTACCAGTGAAATTTGTGGAAATGTTGTGTCAGTACTGACCATTGCCGATGTGGTTGTATGCATAACATGGGAAGTTACCACATGATAAATGGTTAGCTGCATCCACCCACTGTGACGGGAGATGACAGAGCAAGACCATGTGGCTAAAACCTTCTGGGGTTCTTATAAACAAAAACCAAAGATGGGTTGTAGCTTTGAGTTAGGATTGTAAAACTCCAGTGATCACCATTTGAAAGGATGATGATTCCACCAGCCAGCTTTTGAAAGATACTTAAGATACCCGTAACAAAACAGAAACGGAAATCTTATTGAGTCCAATAGTTTATGGTATATGTTTTAGCTTCATTTCAATTAACTTAAACCCTCTTTTGTACTAACTGAAGACCTTAGTATTGGGGTGGCAGTGTCTCTTCATCAAATATGCCTGTCATACGTTACTAGAATTTCACTGGTTCTGTGGGAATAGTTTCAATGAGAAACAAAAGCAAAAAGGAGATGCGGCAGGGAAAACCATTAGTCAGAAATTCTGGCATTACCAATAAGATTTTTTTCTTGCCACTGAGCAGTCATGAAAATAATCCTGTATCTTTACAAGATCTCTTCCCACTTAAAAGGACCAAAATAAAAGACATGCATCCAGAACAGCAATTACTGGGTAATATGCTTTTAATGGCAAGTATGGGGGCTTAAAAAATACTTTAAAGGG